CAGCCCTGCTCACCCCCCTCCTCTCCCACGCCCTCCAGATCATGGCTGCGGCTGTTGTCCTTGTCCTGGTTCTGCTGGCACTCCAGCAAGCACCCAAGACCAAGCACTAGATAGAGGTGACCACGGCCGAGCAAATGAAGCAGCAGGAAGAGTATCTTCAGCACGAGATGACTCGGCTGCTGAAGATCAGAGGAGAGAGAGCACGGAAGAAACCATGCAGATCTTGCTGTGGCAGCAGTGGCTGTTTTGGACCATTGCAGCACCCCTGGTCCTATTCACTGCGGGCTGCTGGCTTTCCAGGCAGATGAAGCTCTCCTCCAAATGCTGCTGGCAGCAGGACAACTCAAGCTGTGAGAAGCAGGACAAGAAGGAGGCGGAAGATGACCTCTCTGGAGCACACCACGGTGTCAGGTCTCCGGCTGCATCTGGAGACCCCATCGCCAATGCCAGGAAGCTCTTTACCTTAAGCCTTTACTTTTCTTATCTGAGTTTTTCTAGTCATAGAGTTTTAGTCTTAAAAATGTAGGAGCTTTTCTTCAGAAAAATATACTGAGAATAATGTTCATAATGCTGCAACTCCGACTATTTCTGGTTTATTTTCACTTAGGCTAATGTAAGCAAGATGATTGATTTTGTTTCCTAATACGAGTCCATTATTTGGCCTTTGTCGTGGTTTTTGCCTCAGCCTCCAAGAAAGAATCATGCTCCGTAGCATCTATTTGTGCAGAGATGGATTTCTTAGAGCATGTCAGGGTGCTCAAAAGATTTCCTTTGTATTTCTAGTAAAAAGAAAAATTTTTGTGAGAACTACTGATGTGTAAAATTAATCCTCTAATGAGAACAGAACAGGACACACTCCCTATAAGGTAAGTCAGTATTTTCCATTTTAACATTAGCCGAGTAAAATAAACATCCACATAACAGTGCAGAAACATCCTTGTTTCTTTCATCTAGTCCTCCATCAATGTAATCAGAACTGAGTTAACCTGTAAACTGTTCCACTTCCTCTGATTATGATATGTTAAAGGTCTCAACAGATCCCAAGATAAATTAATCTAAATTGCTACATCTCTAAAGTATGTTATCATCCCTAAAGCATGTTAGCGCTAAAATTCACTAATAAGAAGCATGAGAGTGAATCTCTAAGTGAGAGAAAACTGAAAAAAGCCTGAGACTTAATTTTAGAGTTTTCTTTCTGGTGTGTTCTTGTTGAACCTCATGATAACCATCATACAACATCTCCTAACCTATCAAATTCAGGCTTGACAAAATCTTAAGGCCCTGGGAGTTTGGAGGTATGGTCCATGAATAGGGCTGTACTGTCAGTCACAGAAAGATGTACCCTAAGGACTAAGAGCTAAAGTTCATTTTTAAAGATCCTCACCACAAACGCAGAGGAAGGAGACAGAATACTGTAACACAGAACCAGATTATTACAAATGCACAAGAATAAAACGAAGATGCTGTACTCTGGTAAACACTAGTGACGTGTAGAGAGATGAGATCGGGGACCATATAGTTATAACAGTCTCTTAAACAAAGTGAGTAGTATAACCTTTCACACTGAAGTTTTGGTGAGCTTTGACATTGGATATAATTGAAATAGTAATTTGAGCCCTAACGAAGACTAGGTATGTGTATTGTTTCAGGGGCTTCATGTTTTGGTTTGGGTTTTTTTGGGTCTTAAACACAAGTGAGAGAAAATTAACCAGTTTGATTGTTTTTAAAGCAAGTTATCAGAAAGTATTTGTGAAGGACAACCAACTTTTTCATCTTTTTATAGCGCACAGGATAGCATCTGCTCAAAGGAATGTCATGTTAACATTGTTACAACCAAAATGCTATTGCGTAGAGGTACCAAAGAGGGCCTTCTGGACTTAGAAAAGAGCAAGAATGAGGACAATTTATTTCTGCTGAGACTTATCATCCTACATTTTCAGTCTTTTTTGTTTGCTTTAACCCATTAAAAAAAAAAAAGTTTTGGTCAACATTCAAGGTCTGGATTTAAGCTTAATAGTATCTTTAAAAATAAATCCCCTAATGATTGCACATACCTTGATGCAGACCACCAAACAGAATCCTGCTACCAGCAACACCACTGCAGTAGTGATCACTCCTGACACAAGTTCCCCGGTTCTACCTGAATTTTCTTTAAAAATACAAATTCCAAAAAGTTTAACAGAAGTGCTTCATATTGCAAATTAATGTTTACTATTGTTCAATAAGTATATCAAAGCTAGGATTTTTCTCTTATTTATAATCTAAAAGCTACGATTTAGGGCGAATGTCTCAGTTTCTTTTTAATGTTACTAATACTACAATGTTCAAGTTACTTGACCCATACTATAAGACTTTAAAGTGATACTTCAATGACTTAAGTGTGCATAGCTGAAAACAGATTATTTTACTTAATTGTGCTGATACAAAATTCCATGTGTGCTCATGTAATATGATTTGGTGATTTCTTAATACAAGTCCCATTTAAAAACACTCAACTGCCCTGTATGGTAAACACTGCCTCCAGGTACAGTGCTCGGTGCCATTAACAGTTCTGCTGATTTCCAGTAGAACAACTCAGTAAGCATTATCCAGCCTGGACCACAGATTTCATGATTTCTGTTGTGAAATCTTTGCAACTTCCATCTAAAACATTTCCCAACTTCATGATCCCAACTTCCCACGCAATCCAGGTGGGCGCAAGAAGCAGTAGATCCTCAGGTGGGTGATAACAACAGATTCCACAGGAGCTAAGAGCCCATCTAGCAGAAACGTTTGCATGGCACCAAGCATCTCATTACTCCAGCCAATTTCAACAACGTGAGAACACTCAGAGCCGGAGGACTCATTCCTTTAAGTACAGTTCTTCTACTTCAGGCTTCCTTTCCACTGCTGAGTCTCCTTCAAAGAATTTGAAAAATTCTGCGCTCCTTTGGCAACTCCCTAAGGATGTCTAGCAAACAGTTCAAAAATGAGAACTGCCAAAACAGAGCATTTAATCTGGTCATTGCCTTTAGCTTGGCTTTGTCCCCGCATGCAGACCTATGTTCATATCTTGTCAGTTCCTTTCGTAGAGCAGCTTTAAGCTGTGACCTTACTTTACACAGGAGAAGGACTCCAAAGTGATTGTAAATTCATCTCACTTTTGCCCTAGAAGTCTGCTTTTCAGTAGCACTTGGAAATCTTTCTGATGGTTGAGCAGCTACTGTGCTACGACCACTATCCAACGTGCTCATCTAGCGTGTTCCTTTATGCCTACTGTCTCTATCTGCATATCTGCTTTCAGCCTGTGCTGCCACAAAGATGCTTATCTCTCTGGTAAGTGTCTGCTCTGTTCTGTACAATGTATTTCTGGTCCACGAGTAGGAAAATTCTGTGAGAGGGACAGTAATTTAGCCGCTAAAAAGGGGATTCGCATCGCTTATGGCTATTGTAAGATCCATCTGCAGAGAGCAGCCAGAGAAAGGCATTTGTAGAGGATGATCCAGACCATATTCAGACTGGACAGGTGCACATGTCTGTCTCCACTAAATGTACAGGGAGATGAACGGACTTGTGTGTGAAAATTAGGAGCATCAGTTAAGTGTGTGTAACTCTTTGGAAGTTTTCCACGCTGTCCACTTCAGAGGCACAATATTAGGTTTACAGGATAAGGAAGAGCCATGCAGCTCATGCTGGAATTTGAGCTGCAAGGAAGTGTGTTTCTCTGACTCAACCATTTGTTCCTCTAACTCCCCTCCTTCAGACCGCATATAGCCACTGACACTTAAAACACACCCTACATCAAGTTTTCAGACTGAAACTAAGCTGTCATGGGGGAGAGGGGACAAAGGAAGACAAGAATATGCGGTTATTATCACTTATTCTAGCCCCCTTCCTGCTATGTTGCCTCTGTTTTTCACATCCCACTGGCTTGTTTCAAGTTCTCTTCTTTCTTAAAAAAAAAAACCAACCCAAAACCAAACAAGGTGCCTTTATTAGTTTTCAGTCTTTTGTATTCTATCTAATTGCACAAAATGCCAATGTGCTACTGTTTGAATGGGTTTTTTTCCTCCTCCCTTTGGACTGGGATTTAAGGAAGCTGCATCCTAAACAGCATACTATTTCTGAACAAATCTGTAATTTGTTTGCACTATAATTTTAGAAAGCAGGAGTAAATTATTTTTAACCTTTGGTAAGAGTTTTCAATAGATAGAAAAGTTAATCAGTAAGTCTGCTTGAAATTGGAGACAATGAAATAACTGTAACTAAGACTTCACAGCTGGAAATTTACTACAGTTCATAAAAATGCAGGCAGGCATATAAACACATATATCCCCAGGTCTAAAAAAGGCCTGTTGTGTAGAATTAAAGCTTGGAAAATAACAACTGTGTACTCTCCTCTGCAAGATTGCTTCTGCAGGCAAATTTATACCCCATCTTTGGGCTTCCCTTCACCTCCTGCTACCTTTAAAGACCGTGTTTGCGCTTAGCGGAGCATTTAGGATATGATTCTGAGAGTTCCCTGTGCCCTCAGCTCTGAGAGCAGTCGGTGGCAACTGAGGGCAGCCACTGACTTTAAGACCTTCCCCACAAGCTGCTGATTGAAAAAAAAAGAAACTTCAAGTTTTTAAATAAATACATCTTGGGTAACATTTTTCTCCTGGGACAATAATAAAGTATCTCTTCTCCCCACCTGTACTTATTACACAAGACAATTTTTCTAAATATTTTAGATTTCTGATTGACCCTTTGGCTCTGCATTCCCCTCACTGGTCCTCGTCGTCCGAATTGGAAAGAGCAGCTACTTACCAACTTGCAAAGTTGTCACAGTAAGTTTTGTGTAGTGAGGCACTGAAACATTGCACAGATATTCTCCACTGTCGTTTGCAGTAAGATCATGCACTACCAGTGAAAAGTCATATTCGTTTATCTGGACTCGAGGCTGGTAAGAGTGAGATGTACCATTGAAGGAGGCCAGGACTGAAACCACCGCATTTCTGTTTAACGTCCAGACAACACTGAAACCTTCCGTGTTTGCAGTGTTATTGCTGTATTCGCAGGGAATTGTAGTGTTACTTCCTTCCACATTAGACAGTTGGTCTGAAACAGATAATTGAAGAGCCGTCTTCAATTTTGGGGGGAAAATACTGCAAAAGTTATTTAGACATTTTCTGATTTTTTTTTTGAAGTCTCATACTACTGTGGACAAACATAAAAACATGTTTCACTATTTTGATACCATATCCAAACACCATAGTATGCTTCTGGAAGCATTTGAAGATTTTAAAAATAAATCTATCTTACATTAAAAAAAGAATCTAATTGGTATTAACTATACATATGAAAATTATTTTGTTTTCATTTGCCTATTTCTCCTCTAATTAGGGGGCTCATTAATAAAAGTGATTCAGCCTAGTCCAAGTTACTGGGTAAAGTAGCATGAAATTCCACGTGTTGGGAGCACACAGAAAATGCAACTAATCAGATACCTGCACATTTAAAGCAAAAGGGTAAAACTTACAACATAATTTAATCAAGAGAATAAAAAGATTGTATTTAGTTAGAAATAACTTTCAGCTACGGTGGACTTGAGTACTTCATTTGTCTGTGTGGAACACTTACAATTAATGAATGGCTTTAAAAAAAAGGAAGGGGAAGGAAAGAGCAGGTAAGTGGAACTAATAGCTAATGTATAAAATACCAATATAAGACAAATTAATAACATAGCACAACTATTAATTTGACAGCAGGCATCCGCTGCGAAAGAAGGAAGCTGTGGTGGCTGGTAGTCTGCTGGAAAGGAGACTAAGATGTTATTTTGACATGGTATAACCACGCTTGGGTTTGGAGCAGGTAAGAGCAGGGAGAGCTGAATGAACAGAGGTGTGGTGTTGAAAACCCTGAGGACAAAAAAAACCCAACACTGTACCCCACACTGCTATTATATAACAAAAAGGAAAGGAGTATATTTTCAAAATGTTCCAGTGAGAGGATAGACGGATGCCAACAAAAGTGTAATGAAATGTACCTTTTTCTCTTGTGGATCGGAAGGATAGGTTAACAAAATAGACACCTAAAGTGCACTTGTTACTTACTATAATGCCATACTTCAAACCTTCCATATTGTATGTAAATTAGAAACTGCACTCTTGTTCTGAAGCGTATGCAGGGGATTAGGAACTGAGAGTGACTGGGTACGCTTTAGGGGGAAATCAGGGCAATAGAAGCAGCCATGCACATCTCACAGGGGAATTGCTCTTGATCCAATTAAAAAATATTTCCTAAGAAACAGGAGAGTTGAAAAGTACCAGTTATTTTCTTGAACTGAATTTCCAGTGAAATTTGGGAGGAGGACAAAATGGAGCGTCGAAATTTCATAGCCCCGTTTTTCATTAACTAACAAAATGAGCGGCTGTTTGCTCTAATGCAAGCTTGCAGCTCTGCCCTTCCACCCACCCCCAGCACTCAACCCCGGCACTTAGAATGCACTTGAAGAGAAGTACAACGAAAGCATCAAACGGCACTGAAAAAACTCTCACAAACGATGGGGCATGGACTGAGTAAGGAGCATATGCATCTAGAGCAGCAGGCAAACTTTCCCCTCCCTCATGTAACCCACAGGTTCACCACAGGTTTCCGCATATTTTGTCCGAGTTCATTCTTTGCTTGATAAAATTTGATTATTATGCACCTCTTGAAACTTGGAAGCTGATACGGAAAAAAACATGCAGAGTAAAGCCAACTTACAGAAGTGTGAGCTACCCCCTCTTATCCCTACTTCTTGGACATATGCTGCCTTGTAATTGTAACAGGCGAGTTTGAAAGAGGAAAGCACATCCTTTTGCACCATCCCTTATCTGTGTTGCCCCACTGCAAAAGTACTGTATTTAATTTGGCTCCTAAACCAGCTGTGACATTCAGTAACAATGCAGGAAGAGACTTCCATTCATTCCTACCTTGCATCTTCCATTCAGCAGCCCACTCTTCATGAGGGAGACGAATATGACAGTAGTAAGGATCAGTTGTGCTTAGAATGTTCTGGTCACTTCTAAGAGAATAGAGAACTCCATCCCAGGCTTCCTCCCGATCTGTTTCTTGGATAGATGTATTGCCTCGTACCCAAGATATATTTGGTGCGGGATGAGTGAGAAAGGCATAGCACTTCAGCACCCTCCTTGTCTCTCTCTTTTGGTACTCCAGTGCATAATAAGAGGAAACTGTAGATTAAAATAAATAAATAAATAAAATCAATCCCACTACTTTCAAAATCGTTTTTAACTTGAAGTGATTGGTCTTTTGAAATAACATTGGGGAGAATAAACATAACTGAGAACAAAATTTAATCTGTGATTGATTTCAGAAGAAAGCATAGTTTTACTTACTGTCAATGTCAGGGTCTGTACTGTTCTGAGAAGCCACATAATATTTTAAACCTCAAGTATACTACCTAATTACCCCTTAGAAGTGCAGTAGGTTATGAGAAGATGTGCTGCACTGTAATTTTTCAACTCACGTTACAACTTTGCACCAGAGAAAATGAATTGCTTGATAACACCACCAGGCCCAAAAGATGCTGCTCTATTAGGTTGGAAGATTTTGATTTCATATGAGAAATAACAAGAGAAAATCTGTTGGTGTAATACCATTTCCACTGGCGTGATCCAAGCACTTTTGGTGTCTTACTGACCTCTTACGCTCAGCGTGACTTCCACTTCTGTTTTATTCTGGTGTGTTCCCACGTAGCAACTGTAAGTGCCCTCATCAGTCAAGGTCAAGTTATGAAGTTTCAAGGAGGCATTTCCACCAGGAATGTTCTCGTGGAAAAGGTGTGTTCTGTTTCTGTAATCTGGGTCTTGTATTTCAAGCTGATCCCTCTGGTAGTAGTATCTGTGCACATTTTTGTCCCCTTTCTTCCAGTAAATTACTTCATCGTCCCCAGGTGGGAAAGGACAAGGGAGGATGCAGTCCTTGGAAAACAGCCCTGTTACTGTTTCCTGTTTTGTAAAACCTAAAGCCCATAAGTAAAAATGATTTAAGTTAAATGAAATCTAGTCTACAAGTATATTTCTGCTCCTCCTTATCCCTGACAAAAAAATACTCTGGTAGGCAGCAAAACTTGTCAGGCTGTTGGCCAATGTCCGGCTGCAGCCATCTTCTTGGAAATTTTGATGCCCTCTCCAGCTCAGCCAGCAGGGCAATCCAGATGACTTTTCTCCAGCCATCCCAGTGCAAATTCAAGCAATGTACTTCAAACCATTTTCAGTACAACTACTGCCTGCTAAGCAGTCACATGACGCACTCCACCAGCTGAGCCGCGGGGCAGAAACGCTGGCAGATGGCAGCTTGGGTGCTCAAGATACTCCATGGCCATGGCCATCCGTGCAGCCCTCTGCCAGTCATCTTTTGCTTCAGGAGTGTCTTACATTGCCCCAAATGTAATTCTTTAACATTTATAAGCAGTGTTTGAATTAATTAATAACCCCCTAATAAAAAATGAGTAATAATTGTCACCTTTATTATTTGTAATAAACAATAGAGCTAAAACCTACCCCAAAGTGCAGCAACTATGTGAAATAAACAGATGAGACGAGACGGTATCTTCTCTCCCTTCACATCTTCCTTGGTTCTTAGTAGATTCATGTCAAACTGACAACATAAAAGGAGGAGAGAAAACCTGTTTAAATGCAGGTAAAATACTTACTCTGCTCCTTGGTACAGCTTATTAAGGACTGTAGGCCTTTGTATCATGTTCTATTTTTGCAACAGTCTTGGCCCAAGTTTTTTGCTTTAAGGTCATTATGTAATACTATACATCTCATAATGGTCGAGGCCCTCTCATCAGCTTAACTTCCAAAAATGTGTGTATGGAAGTCTAGGGTAGGAATGAAAAGGAGGAGGAGGCTCTCCCATCATATCTTCTGGTTTGTCAGTTAAATGACAGTGAACTGGAAGCTCTTGTGCACAATGAAAAAAGAACAATCTTCTTGTAACTAATAGACCGCACTCTTCCTCCACCCAGGCTATTCTAAAATACCGCATGAATCAAATAGCTTGAAAAGAGCCTGAAGAGCTTTCCCTAGTCTTTTTCCGTCCCCAAAGGACAGCTATAGGTACCATCCCTAACTTACACAGGGCACAGGTTTAGCCAGGCTTGCTAGCCAGTTCTTTTAACACTAGTGAATAATTTTGGCAGGTGCGTGTCCTGGTTAGAGGTAAAACAGAACCAATTTTGTTCAGTAATTTTACTTCTTAGCTAGGCCTCTTCTAACTGCTGAAATTAACAGCATATTGTGCAGACACTGCTCTCTGAGTGATAAGACCTATGTTTATAGCTGATGCCCAGGCATGGTATGCAGAGGCTCTTGCTTATAGTTATTGCTATAACACCCAAGGGCAGATAACTTGGTTATTTGCCCCGTTGGAGGGTCGGAAGCAGCAAAGCATAGAGGGGTCCCACTTGCGGGGAGGAGCGGACAGGACAGGTGACCCAAAACTGACCAACAGGGTATTGCATCCCATCTGCCTCATGCTCAGTATAAAAGCTGAGGGATCAAAGGCTCAGCCCTTCTTCAATGGCCAATATCCAAGGAGGACTCTGTTCGTCTGCTTTTGATCTCCATCCTGAATTCAGATCCAGAATCCAGTTCCCATCTGTCATCCTGGGAGCTTGATATGATTTTGTATATATTTCATTATTTTATTTTTATTTTATAATTAATATTTCATTAAAGTAGTTTAGTTCCTTCTAAACTCATTAGTCTCTCTGCCATGGTTGAGGCCAAATCAGCTACTGGGGACATAGGGCACCCCAGATGGGGCTGACAGATGCTCCTCCCTACCCCTCTTCAAAGAGAGAGGCAGAGGAGGAAAAAAAGAGACCGGAATCAGCTGCCTTCCCCTCTCTCTCTCTCTCACACACACTCTCTCACTCTCTCTCACTCTCTCTCTCTGTAGCAGCACAGGCCCC